GAAGGGGGGGAGCCCTTTTTTTTCCACTTTTCCTTTCAAAAGAAAAAAACCCGGTTCCCTTTTTTTTTTTTCCCCGGTTTCCCACCCCCCCCGCCACCCCCCCGAAGGGTTTCCCCCCCCGCCCCCGGGGAAAAATTATTCCTTTGCCTTTTAAACCCACCCCCCCCCCAAATTTTTTCCCCCCCCCCCTTTTGGGGGGGGGGGGGGGCCCATTAGCCCCCCCTTCCTTTCGAAAACCCCAAAAAAAATTTTTTTCCCCCTTTTGCCCCCCCGCCGAAAAAAAAACCCTGGGGTTCCCCCCCCCCCCCCCCCCCCCCCCCAGAGAACCACCCCGGGTTTGGTCCCCCTTTACCCAAGTTTTTCCCTTTTGGCCCCCCCTTTTGGGTTGCCCCTTTTTTTTTTTCCCGGTTTGGGTCACCCAAAACCCCCGGGAACCCCCCCCCCCCCCCCCCGAGAAAAAGGGCGGTCTAACCGCTAGTAAGGCATGCAAAACGTGAGCACGCGCTCCCTCCCCCGAACGAGGTTTTGGAAGCAGAATCACACAAGAAGAGAGAGCGCCATTCCCCTCAAGCGGTGCGCCCTTCTTTTAACCCCGACTTCGACCCTACTCAGCCTGCTGGAAGATATAGCGGGGGAACATGTCACCGGTGGGAGTCCTGAGGCCGCTGCTTGGGTGATCCATCGCCGCCGCCTCCGCCGCTCGCCAGACGCGCGCCTGACTCACCACGTAGTCGTCTCGCTCTTGCCGCGCAGTCGCCGCCGCCGCCGCCGCTGCTCCCGCCCCCGGCGCGACGGGTTTCCCTCCGACGGCGTTTTTCTTGTCCTTGCCGCTGGCGCCGCCGTCGGTGACGTTGGCAACGCGAGGGTGTTCGCACAGCGCGTCTGCCGTAGGCCGCTGCCGTGGGTCGGGGTGCATCAACTTCACCAAAAAAAAAAAAAAAAACGAGGACGGGCGGCGGAGGGGAGAGCAACACCGAGGTTGGTTAAAACTGCCGTGGCGTGAGAAAAGCTTGGCGATAGCGAAAGCAGGGTCGGAGACCTCCATGACAGGTACATAGGTGCGAGGTCCCATCAAAAAGAATAGCCCACACCGGAACACGGCAAGCTAGTGCTGGATGCCGGATGTACACCAGACCTTGCTGGTTCTACAGACAAACGTCTACATCTTTTCATGTTTAACGATGCAGTATTTGAATGTAAAGCCAACCACACCACCAAACACCAACAACAACAACAACAACAACAACAACATCAACAAAAGCAATATTAATAGTCGAAAACCCCCGCCAACATCATCAACAACAACAACAACAACAACAACAACAACAACAGCAATCTGATGAACAGACGGGCAGCCTTCCCGTCATCCTTCGTTCGTTCGTTCGTTCATCACCTGACGCAAGACGTCCCCCAGGTCCCTCGACCTCGAGGAAGGGAGACCGACAGCCCTCCCGTCCCTCATGGCGTGCCAGTCCTCGCCGTCCCCCGGTAGCTCTATTCTCGTCGCCAATTCGTACACGGTCAAGCCGAGGCTGCGCGTTCGTTCGGTGTGCAACAACGGTCGGCAGGGATAGGAGACAAACAGCAGCGAGAGGGGAGAAGGGGACGTAAACGACCTATAATAGCGCACAACACACAAATCAAGTCCTTTCCAGTTAGTAAATCATGCCTAAATAGTACACCTGAACTGTAATTAAATCATACTGAGTACACCTGCACTACCACTGCGCTGGGAACGGAAGGCAGCAAAAGTCAGTGCCCACGTCAGGACGGACGGGCCACCGCTACTGGTACTGCTGCTACCGCACGCAACAAGCGCACAAGGGAGAAAGACGTGAGGTCGGTAGCTTTTTCTACAAACGAGAGACTGTTGCTGTAACAAACGTCCACCACGATTCACACTCCGGCCAAACCACAAAGCCGACGCTACGACAAGCGATTTTCGAGCCCAAGGTCAGTCCGGGGTACTGATTGGCTTCACCTTTGTCCCTGATTGCTGCTGCTGCTGCGTGCGGGTGACTCTGTTGTAGATAAAACAGCGAGCAGCACAACAGGCCCGGAAAGGAAGCCAAACTACGTCTCGCTGCTCTACCATGCTACTTGCGGTTCCTGGGCGTCTTATCCTAGGGACATGGTAGTTCGTCGAACATGCTCTTGGGGTTTACGAGGTTGGGTTGAACAACAACAACAACAACAACAACAACAACAACAACAACAACTACAACTACACCTAATGCAAACCGTCCCAGAAAATCTCACCTGAACATGTCCGCCGAGGGGAGTCGCGCCGTGGAAGAGAGCAGCTCCTTGGCCATGTACAGCGTGTCCCCCTCCTGACCGTCGCCGATTCCTTCAAGCCCCTCGCCATACGCCGTGGCCATGCCGAAGTCCGCCAGCTTCAAGCGTCCCCCTATTGAGTTGGAACGCAACCCCGAGTGTAACGTCGTTGTCGTGTGAGTCATGGATGGCGGGCGCAGAAGCTCGCAATTACACGGACAGCAGTAGCGATGGCTAAGGTCTAACAGTGACTATCGGATTTAAGAAAATCGAGTGTTTTTGGCATGGTACGACCGTGAGAAATACGTACGGTCTGAGAGAACAACGGGTTTATGAGATTTGTCGTTCGCCAATCCCCAACCCTCCCTTAAGCCGTCGCCACCAATACTGCTGCTGCACATGGCGAAGGGAAAACGGCAGCGGTTTCTTGAAGCAGTACGACGGACGGAAAAGACGACCATCGTCGTGCCTTCGATGCGCGGTGGAGCATGCCGCTTCGCGTTCACGCCGCATGGCGTACGATACGAGCTGCCGAGGCCAACGCGAAAAAGACTCGCAAAAAAACAACGTCGTACAGTAGTAACTCTTTTCGTTTGCCCCGACGACGAGACAAGGGAGCCTGTTGCCCTCGCAACGCGAAAAAAAATAAAAAATGAAAAAGACAAAGAGTATGGAGAATACTACCCTGTGTGTTTGCAGCAGTGAACTAAGGCTAATAACATAAAGCAGAGGAGACACACAAAAAAACATTAGATGGGCGTGCGTTTATCTAGTCCTGTCTATCTGCAATAGTACATACCTTCATCCCCGATCAAGAGGTTTGACGGCTTCACGTCCAGGTGCACCAGGCCCATCGCGTGCACGTGACTCAGCGCCTGCCCGATGTCCTGCAAGACCTGCCACACCGCCGGCTCCGGGATCTCGCGCCGAGAAGGAAGCTGGTAGCGGGCGGCAGAAGCAACACAGGAGACGTGGCCGATCCATGCAGCAGAACCAGAGGAGGAAGAGCGCAAACAAAGAGCGTAGGCAGGCAAAACAAAATTAAGCGTAGTCTGCCAAGGCGTGCGGGAGAGCAAAAGAAAGAAAAATTGGCTCGTGGATGGTGATATGCCCCTGGCTCGGTGCAGAACCTCGATTACTGTGTGTATGTGTGTTTTTTGTCATTAGTATCGACCGCTCCAACCGGCTGACCAATGAAAAGACGTCAGTCTCAGTGCCGTCGAAAACACAAGACAAAAAAATTCTAAATGCCATGAACTAGGACGTGTGTGTTGTGTGTGTGTGTGTTGGTTTGAACGGTATCGACCGCGCGCCAGCTTGCTGATCGACATAGAGGTGTTGCCGAGCCCTTGTTACGTGTGCACACAGCAACAAAGCAACAAAGCAACAACCACACCACGGCAACACCTTACCCCAACGAAAAAGAATCGACAAAATCAAGAACGATTCTTGCTCACCCTCTCCAGAAAGTCCTTAAGGGTTCCGAGCTCGCAGAGCTCCGTCTGCAGACAGAAGTGCCCCTCCTCCTGCCACGCCCGCTCGAACCGGAGAACCCCGGGGTGCTGCCCGAGCCGCTGCAGCGCCTTCGCCTCGAGCAGGCACCGGTCCCGGTCGCGCCTGCCCCGGAACTCTCTCTTGCTCCGTTTGATCGCGTAGAGCCGCCCGGTGCCCTTTGCGCGCACCTTCCACACCACGGAGAAGCCTCCCTCCCCGATCGGCCCCATCTGCACGAAATCGTGCTTGAAGCCCAGGGTGCTGTCCGTGGCCGTCGCCACGGCGCCGGCTCCAACTACCACCCCGCCGCCTCCGCTGCTGGCTGCGGCGTCAACAGCCGGCGCCGGTTCGGCAACGCTAGCGAAACGGCTGCCGCCGCCGCGGCCACCGGTGTTCGTCCCGCCTGTGCTTAGCCGCTCTCGCCCGCCGCGGCCCCGCCCTCCTCTCCCGCTCGCCCCCCCGAAGCTGCTGCTGCTGCTGCTGCTATTGCCGTCGTACCGACCACCGCTCCCGCTCGCCGCCGCCGCCGCCGCGGGGCCGCCACCGTCAACAGCGGCGGCGGCTGCCGCCTCCAAACGAGGAGAGCTCCGTCGCGCTGCGGCGCCTCCGGGGGAGGAGGAGGAGGAGGAGGAGGCGTTTGCGAGGACAACGTCAATCGCCGCCACGCCGGTGCCGCCGCCGCCGGCGTCGACGATGCCGTCGTCGCTGCTGCTGCTCGCGAGGAGTTTGCTCTGGAGGAGGCAGCTCCGGCTGCTGCTCAACAGGCCCCCCGCCGAGATGCCCCCCCCGCGAGGAGCGCGACCGCCGCCGCTCCCGGCCCCCTCCAGCAGCAGGCTGTCCTCGCTCTCCCACGTGGGCGTGCGCTGCGGCGTAGGCGGGCACCGCATTATCGACTTCCGCGGCGTCAGGCACACGGGAGCAGCCGGGCCGGCGGGGGCCGGGCCGCCGCCGCTGCTGCCTACCAGGGGAGAGTGCGCTCCGACCTTGGTAAACCTTGACGAGGTGAAGGCCGACTGGGGGGGGGGGGGGGGGGG